TGCATCAGTACAAATACGTGCACGCGTTGCGCGTTTTGCTTGCTTGAGTGTTTGTGCATTATATGAGTTTTTGTCATATTTTATTACCATTTTCTAAACTATAGCGAATAAACTGTGATAATGTGAGAAAAGATGAAGGTGTCTAAATAGATTTTGGTTTGACTGTATCTATTTGATAAATGAAGTTAACCAACTAACATTATACATACTCTTTTGGTTTCTGTACCCAATATTTAAAAAATGTACAAATGCAATAAAAATATCGGTATCGGTACTCTGTATCGGCAAGTACCAAAAATAAAAGTATCGGTATCGGGCGAGTACTGGAAAAAGTGGTATCGGTGCATCCCTACTTGTGACCGACCACCAGAACAGCCAGGCACAAGAACAGTTTTTTCCCCGCAGGCTATATTCAGCCTGAACAATTAAAAACGTTCATGACTATACATTGTCAATTATAACTGACACATTTATACATAGCATCTGAAAAATGTACACTTGTAAATAACATATCTGTACATTCATTTAAAACAATTATATATGTTTTTTCTCTATATTTCTATTTCTGTATTATATTGCATTATTTAATTTGATCTATTTTATTGCATTTTTTTCATCAGTTTTTCTTATATTAGTGTTATATTTCATCTCTACTGTGTAATTCCTATGTATGTCTGCACTCTGCTCTATCATATATGTTTGCACTTTGTCTGTACTTTCTTCTGCACTGAAAGCTCCTGTCACCAAAACAAATTCCATGTGTGTGTAAACATGCTTGGCAATAAAGCTCTTTCTGACTTCTGACTGTACCCAGGAAGTACCGAGTGTTCTTTGAAGGTTCGAATAATTCTACAGCCATCACATGGAAAGTGTCTTTAGTTTACTCTGAGTGCAAATTTGACCCTCTCTACTGTTCCGTACCTTTATATAGATTCCATACTAGTTCATTCTGGTCCCTCAAACATGGTGGTCAACACATTCTGATTGGCAGGAATATTTATAGACCCCCCCCCACCCCACCCTGTGTGA